CCCAGAAGGATGTGCAACCCCGAAAACAGCAGCCAATAATACACATCTGTGGAGAATGTCACACAGAAAACAGAATAAAATCCAGGGATCTAGTCAAATGCCAAGAATGTGGATATAGAATAAATGTACAAGAAAAAGATTATAAGATTGGGACTGGTGGTTTTTGATGCTTGGTGAAATGTGAATTCAAAAGAGCATCATCACTTGTATTGGATTTGCCACTGATGTTTTATACTGGATAGCTTCTGGATACCATACTTCCATTATGAATCCAACTATATCCATATGATTTAACTGCCTTTGGTTTTTTGAACTACACTGTATTTAGGGGTCAGTATTTTGTGTAAATAAATTTCTTGTCTAGTTAAAAAAAAAACCAAAAACCTCAAAAATACAAAACAAAACAAAACAAAAAAACCCCGAACATTTAGGCATCAGTGCCTAAAAAAATCAAGGACTTTTTTTTTATAGGTTTGCACACAAAATTCATATACATTGTGTGTCATGAATGTACATTGTTTCACACATCCCTTCATTCACATTGTTTTATACAATTAATCACCATTGATCTATGCCCACTACTACTCCATCCTCACTGGATTAATCCTAATGCCTTCACTCCTTCCCTCTGCCCATCAAACTCTTGAGACCTCAAGATTTCACAAACACACACACACACACTCCCTCTGCCCCCTCTCCTTCCTCTTTTGGACTTATATCCACATCTTATTAGTTATCCTTCTATTTTTACAATGATGGTCTTATGCAGTATTTGTCCTTATGAGACTGAACTAGTTCATTCAGCATCATGCTGTCTAGCCTCTCCCATGTTAAACAGTATTTTACAAACTGTTACAACTTGAGTGCTGCATAACAGGATTACATTGTATGTATGTACCACAATTTCTCATTAGTGACAGGATTTTTGGCATCTTGGTACTGGGGTGCTGCTTTAATAGAGACCCCAAATGTGGAAGCAGTTTTGGAAATGGAGAATGAGTACAGATAGAAGAGTTTTAAGGTGCCTGGTAATAAAATCCAACAATAAATAATTCAAAAGACATGTTGTGTTGGACAAATCTGCAGTCCAAGGTATCTTTAAAGTGCTAAAGAGCAAAGATACAGTTTAAATAAGTTGTAGTTGCAAGCTGTGGTTTATTAAATTGTTTTATATGGACGTGAAAGTTGAACAATGAATGAAGAAAACCAAAGAATTCATGCTTTTATATTATGGTAGTAGCAAAGTATCAAATATACCAAGGACTAGGAAAAGAAAAAAAATGTCTTGGTTTAAGTGTAACCAGGGTGTTCTTTAGAATTAAAGAAGGTGAAACTATCTCACATGTTATTAAGAGGCACTGGTTCTTGGAAAAAGACATCATGCTAAGAAAAATAGTCAAAAAGAAACCTCTCAATAGGATTGATGCCGTGACTGCAGGAATGGGCAGAAGCATGTCAGAGACCAGGAGGATTGGTGCAGGGCAGGGCAAGGCTTCGATCTGTTCTCCCAAAGGCCTCTTAGTGATAACTGACTTGATGGCATCCCACAACAGCAAGGGTGAAAGCCTAGTCTTGAAGGGACTGTGAAATTATGGACAAAGACAATTCTGGTAAAACACATAAAAGATAGGGAGACTTTTAACACCTGAATGGCCAACTCTCACAGAATTAAACTATAGAAACTTGAAGATCAGGCTCTAAATCATATTACTTTTAGGACAGAAGTGAATCTTTCTTAGAATTTTATTGTGGTAAAATTTATACATTAAGATAAAACTTGCTGTTTTCCAGTGTGTAATTCAATGATGCTAGTGACATTGGAGCTCTAGTGGTCTAGTGTTAAGGAGCTGCACTGCAACCCAAAAGTACATGGTTAAAATTTCTCCTGCTCTGCAGGAGAAAGATGGACAGTTTCCTCCCACGCAATTTACAGCCTCTGAAAACCCACTGGAGGGTCTGCTCTGACTCGCCAACACATAACAATGACATTAACTCTCTTTTAAAATCCAATTCCATCAGCATTGATTACAAATTTGCAATGATCCCAGGTGCGCTCTGGCCAGGCAGGGGTCATTAGCTAAACTCCCAAGCACCTAATGGTCTCTAGAGCTCAAACCAAGAGCTTTGGTATGTCATGGGAGGGGGCAAATGGATAGTTTTCACATGTAAATAGATCAAAGTGGCAGAGTGAACACAGCTCCACAGTCCAGTCACACCTTCCACTCTCTATTATTCTCCTCTGATAATGTGTGCATTACAGCTCTCAAGCAACTGCACCATTAAACCTCACACTTTTGTTTTGGCATTTTTCATGTCAGGCACCAAAAGAAAGTTGAAGACCTGTCCTACAAAACCCATGAAACCAAATACAAGTAACAAGTACAAACCAAGTTCATTACAACTCTGCAAGTAAAGCTTCATTTTGAAAAGCCTGTTTTTTAAGGCAAACTGTTGTATAGATCACATTTTCCTCAGCAGCACTGGCCCTCATTTACATATGATAAAAGTATTCGCCATCACAGACACTTTCAACAGAAAAAACTGGTCAAAGCTATTACCATCTTTGAATTACAGCAAAAATAAAATTTTACTGTGATTTTAAAGTTTACAAAAAAGATGTTTCATTCATTTATTGGTATACCTTTTCCTTCCTTTCCAATTCACTTTGTAGTCAATGTCTTGTCTGAGATTGTCAACTGCCAAAGCAAGGTTAATAATCTATTTCCTTCAGATAGTCCCTCCCTTCTCCCACTGCAATGCAGTGCTCAGGATCCACTCATAATTTTCCTGCTCTCCATACCTCCATGTTCACCTTATTTTTTGTAACAGAAGTCCTATGCAGTATTTATCCTTTTGTGAGGGAGATACTTCACTCAGCATGTCTTACAGACTCATCTATATTGTGTAGTGTTTACAAGTTCACTGCTTCTCAATGTTGCATAATATTCCATTGTGTGGATTTACTAGGGTTTTTCTATCCATTTACTTGTTCACAGGCACTTGGGCTGCTTCCATCTCTTCATGATTATGAATAACAAATCTTAAAGTAAAATTCTAAAGAACTATTTTCCTTTTCTGATCCATATTTCTAAGATTTGAACCAAATTAAGTACTAATTCAAATGACAAAAATATTAAGAAATGTTATGTGTTGCTGAGTTGAAAGTGATTCATAGCTGACCCTCCAGCAGGTTTTTAAGAGGCTATACATCGTCCAGGAGATTCTCATCTTTTTCTCTTGGAGGAGCCGGTAAATTAGAATTGAGTACCTGTGGATTGGTAGTACAGCTCCTTACCCACTAGGCCATCAGAGTGCCCTAAGAAATTATAGCTTCCTAAATTTTTATTATGTCAACTGGGCAAAATGTACTAAATGCTAAGAGGATTTCTGTTCAGAAAATATCTTGGGGCTGTTCTGGGGGTTTTATTTTTTTTGGAGTTGTTTTTGTTTTGACTGATACTAGAACAATTCATCTTGCTCAGCTCCACAATCCAAATTCTTGGCATCAGCAGCCAGAAAATCAAAAGATGAATTTTATTAAGAAAATCTGCCCTCAGAGAACTCTTCAAAGTGCTAAAGCACACTAATGTTGGTCTAGACAAAGGTGTGCCTTATCCAAGCATGGTCTTCAGAAGTACTTGTTATGCATCAGATAGTTGGACAGGACTAAGGATGACAGAAGAACTGATGCCTTTGAATTATGGTGCTGGAGAAGAGTATTAAACCATGGACCATCAAGAGAACAAACAGTTCTTTCCCTCATTTGCATGACAACAGTCTAGAATAAGAGATGCATAGTAAAGTGGACTGGAGGGCATGGGGGAGGGAGGAAATTGTGCAATAATGAAAAAAAATTCTTTAAAGAGAAAAGTGAACAGGGATGGGGGCAGAAAGAAAATGTGCAACAATGAATAAATGGAAATCCAAGTTTTCTGTGAACGTTCATTAAAATATCAATAATAAAAAAGGGAGGAAAAAGAGAGAGAACAAACAGGTCATCCCTAGAGAAGGTGAAACCAGACTGCTCCATGGAGGCAAGGATTTTTAAACTCCCTCTGACATACTTTGGGCATTTGCTAGGCGGGACCAGTCCATGGAGGAGGACATCATGCTTGGAAGGGTGGAAGTACATCACTAGAGGGGAAGACCCTGGAAGAGATGGACAGAAACAATAACTGGGGTAATGGGGGTTGGTGTGCCAGAGACAGTGAGATAGGCTCGGGACAGGACAGGATTCAAAGCTAATGTGCATAGGGTCACTATGAATTAAAAGCGACTGATAACACATTAACAATATATGAATTTATATCCAACTTATTTCAAAAAATATTTTCCTGTGACCTTGGCCTTTTTGAATACTCAAGACTAGCTAAAATGTTAAGAGACTGAAGCAATAATTATTTTAAATAAGTAGGGGGGAAAAAACCAGAACTCAAAGAAAGATCACAGAATTCAAAATTCTAGTTGATGTTTTGATAAGGTGATGCCTTATAAAAATTATTACCTTTGTTCTAAATAGAATAAATATTGTTTTACCTAGCAGTAATCCCTACGTTTAATTTGGGTTAACAATGTTCTCACTACCTTTATGAAAGAAAATAACAATATAATCATAAAGTTTAATTAATCATTTTTGGGGTAGATTTATTAATATTTTTAAATATTCCGTATTACCTTTAATAAAATACATATACCAATAGGTGATGAACAGATCGTTTTATGGCTTACTTAAAAACTTAAGTGAGGAAAATAGACATTTACCACACTAGTAGCTGGTTTTCATTTCCCCCCTTTTTTAAAAAGGAAAAATGTCTTTAATATAAAAAGAGTTCCAAAAAACTTTAAAAGGTTCCCAGTAATGATTACGTCTAAAATGTACAAGATTTTAAACATAATTTATATAAAAGGCTAAAAACAAAAGGATTTAGTTCTGCTTTTCCTTTTTAAAAACTCCACAAGATTCGTGACATAAAGTTCAACAAGTTATCACCATCGGCGCCTCAGTCGTCCTCAGAATCACTGTCCCCCCTTGTGGGGACTGAACTTCGTACTGTTGACAGTAACATGTCGTCTACAGGTTTCCTGGGGTTTTCTTCCAGATCTGTCTTGATTGCTCCAGACTCAGACAATTTCCACTCCAACTCTATGTGATAAAAAAGAGAAAATGAACTAAGTAACAGTCCTGGATGGGGTCCCTAGCACATTTAATTTCACCAAGTTACATTTTTTTGTGAAAACTAATACCAAAATGTGATGATAATCTTAGTGCCATAATGTTAAGATTCCTGGAAAAGAAGGGGGAAGGGAATCAAATGTTTAATAAAGGGTGGTGCAAAATACTTTCACACACTCTTCTGGAGGATAAGATCAAATGAAAAATTATAGAAATTAGAAACTGGAGATTTTTTAAAAAAAAAAAAAAAGCAAAGGCTAAAAACCTGTTTCTCAGCTCGGAATGACCCAATAAAGCAACTAGCATGAAATAACTCAAGGAAATAATTTTAACAGACTTGCTGGCAATCTAAGTATTTTAGTTAGTAAGTGGAAATGTTTATGCCTCACACCCAATAGCTCTAATACAATAAAAAATCAAATGTGACACTCTAGAAACGATTGAACCAAACATGTAACAACCATAAAGCACCTAACTTGTACTTAATAAAGTACAAAAACAGTAACTAAAGACTGTATTTCTATCTCATATTCAGTGTAATTCCACATGAGTGTGCAATGTTTGTGAAGCAAAATCAACTGCTGGGTTTTTCTACTGCGTATAAGAGCTCAGGCAGAGGCAGAAGGAAAGAACTAGCCAAGAGATTCTAAACAGCCTGGATTATGGTTAAACAACAACCCCCCCCAACACCCCTCAAGTCAATTCTAATGCACAGCGAGCCTCTATTAGGTTTCCTGTAAATTTTAATGAGCAGCCAACCACCTTTTTCTCCTGGGAAACAGCTGGTGGATTCACACCTCAGGTCTTTTGGCTGGCAGCTCAGGAACCCACTATGTCCAGTTTAAAGGAGAATCAACGCAGTGATGTGATGCTCTGCTAATCAGGAACTTCAATAAAAATCTGACAACTAACTTTACTAAAACGCTATTAATGTGAAGTGTTCTGTAGAAATGAAAGAAGAAACCCTGGTAACATAATGGGTTAAGTGTAGGATCCCTAACCAAAAGGTTGGCAGTTAAAATCCACCAGCCACTCCAAGAGAAAAAAAATGAACAGTTTGCTCCTGTTAAAGAGTCACAGAACTCTAGAAATGCACAGATACCTAACGCATGGTGGGTTTATAGAGATAAAAAATATACTAGTTTTCAGCTCTACGTATTATGGTTCAATATTACAAAGTCCCAATTTCTTACAATTCTGAAGATTTCTGGTTACTGACTCAAAATTTATTCTTATACATATGTTATGTTATTATTATGTACCATTAAGCTGGAACCGACCCATTAGCTGACCCTCCAGTGGTTTTCCAGAGTCCATAAATCACACAGGAGTAAAGGCTATCTTTATCCTATGGAGGAGCTGGTGGATTCGAACCTCGTGCATCTGGATTAACAACGCAACAGCTTACCACTAACTGTTGTTGCTGAGTACAGGCGAGTCACAACTCACTCACAGCTGACCCTTCAATGAGTTTTCAGAGGTGAAAAGTTGCCCAGGAGGTGAGTGCCTATCTTTCTCCCACAGAGAAGCTACTGGATTTGAACTGCAAACCTTTGGGTTGGCAATGCAACTTCTTACCACTCAGCCACCAGAGCTCCCCTACGACTACTAAAGGAAGTGGGTATTCTATTCAATAGAAATATCCCCTGTGATCTCTAATGTGCCCTTGCCCATATCTCAGAACCCCTTACCATCTCTCGTCAAGTTCATGCCACCAAACACTAGAGGACCAATAAATTGAGCCTTGATATCACCTTCAAGATAAACAAACACTGTGGGCAGATTCCTGTCAGGGTAATTGGGTATGCAGGTTGTTGAAATAGCTTTGATGAATTTAACATCAGAAAATTTCCTTGCAAGTTCAGTGAAGTGCCGATTGATCAGAGCACAGAGGGGAATCCTATAAAAGAGAAAAAAGAAAAAAGACAATGCTCTTGATTCTGTATATACAGAACAAAACTCAATTACCCTTCTACCCTATATAAAGCTTCCTGAGAGTTTCCGAAGTTCCTGTCTGCTATTCTGGTCAACATCAAATGTGTTGTTTTGGGGGCCATCAATTAATCGAGACCCTATGAACAAAGGATCTGCACTCGCTGTGCCATCCTGACCATCTCTGGAACCCTTGATTTGAGCCTGTTGATATAGACACTGTGTCAATCCATCCTCTTGTGAGTCTTCCTCTTTTTCGGAGACCTTCCAACCTTTCTAAGCATGATACCCTTTTTCAAAGACTGGCCCCTCCTACCAATATCTGCAAAGTCTCTGAGACAAAGTTTTGCCATACTTGCCTCCAAAGAGAACCCTGCTTTCATTTTCTCCAATACAGACCTATTTGTTCTCTTGGAAGTCCATGACATATTCAGTACTCTTCTCCAGAACCACAATTCAAAGGTATTAAGTCTTCCGTTATCCTTAATCACTGTCCGACTTTCAAATGCATATCAAGCAACTGAGAAGAACATGGCTTGGAGTAGGCTGACATCACTGCTTTTTAGTACTCTGGAGAGATCCCTGACAGTAGCTTTTCCTCAACGTGCAATCTTTTGATTTCTCGACTGCTGGTACGAAAGATGTTGATTTTTAGATGCCACTGTTGACAACTTCAATCTTTTCTCCATTTATCATGACTATCAGTCCACTAGTGAGGACTTTTTTCTTGATGTTGAGATGTAATTCATACATACTGACAGCTCTGGTCTTTGATCTTCTGGTAAGTGCTTCAAGTCCTCCTCACTTTTAGCAAGCAAGATTGTGTCATCTGCATAACGCAGGCTGTGAGAGAGTCTTCCTCTGTTCCTGATGCCATATTCTTTTTCATCAAGTCTGGCTTCTTGGAAGACTTCGTATATAGATTGAACAGGTATGGAGATAGGATACAGTCTTGACGCATACCTTTCTTGATTTTAAACCATGCTATGGTCTCTTGCTCTATTCCGAAAACAGCCTCTTGGTCTAGGTGTAGGTTTTGTATAAGTGCAATTAAGTGTCTGGGATTCATATAATTATCAATTTGTTATGATCCACACAGTCAAATGCCTTTGCACGGTCAGTAAAATGCAGACTTCCCATCCTCAGGAAAGATGAAGAACTCAAAATACAAATCCAGTTTAAGTGGGTCCATTAATAAGATAGAAAAAACAGCTTAAACATAAAAGATCATTACAGTGCCTGCAAGAGTGAATAAGATAACATCTGAGATTTAGATTGTGAAAAATGGATCAGAAAGCACGTCCTGTTTTCCCAAAAATCCTAGTCCACCGATGAGGTCTCTAGTATAAGAAAGAAAAAGAGCAGGTAGATGAGAAACAATTGTACAAATCAGTACAAAGGCCTCCAAGAATGTGGAACAACTCAGAATTTTGAAATGCTACACTCTCTCAAGTAAAGTAACTTAGGAATTCCTTGTCAACAAATAGTACATCTTGTTACTACATTTTAACATTATGAAAATAACTCACGAAACAGTAATCTGAAAGCAATAGCATGAAAACTAGGCACTGAGGTTTGTGAGTTAACAAAAACATTCAATAACACTAACAAAATGAGCGGCAATACGGACTAAATACAAAGTGTTCAAGACAACAATGCAAATGAACAATAACACAATAACATGGAAATAACACAAATAAATAAATAAACAGTGTTCAAGACATCAATGCAAATGAACATTTTTAAAGATATAAAGATAGTATGTAAGAAGAGCTCACCCTTGCTTGTAAAGGTGCAAGATTACCCACAAACCCTTGCCAGCTTGGGTAACCTCTTGAACATAATCTTTTCCTGAGATTTCCAAAACTTCTCCAAATTTATTCTTGAGTTTAGTTGCTTTCCATTCTGCCAGTCTCTGCTGCCTGAACAAAAGGAGAAAAGTGTCTTACACACATGCATTCCTGAGTGCACACATAAATGTACTCTTTCCACACTAACTTTTGTAAAGGCCCACATTTATATATGTGCTCCAAGGCAAACCCTAGACAAGTTTATGGAAATCTGCAACATTATTTAATTATCAGCAACTCAACTCACTGCTGTCAAATAGGAACCAACTGATACTTGAAGCTCCAGCACGTTTTCAGAGGCTGTAAATTGCATGGGAGGAGACTGCCTATCTTTCTTCAGAGGTGGTTATTATGGATTGTAGAGTAAGAATCGACTCACAGCTGAGCTTATTAAGTCTTCAGAGGCATAAACCACACAGGAGCAGACTATCCATCCTTCTCCTGCAGTTACTAGCGGATTCAAAGCATATGCCTTTAGTTGGCAACGTAGTTCTGGTGAATTCAAAGTGGCCACCTTTGAGTTGGAAGCACAACTTCTTTCTGATTAGGCTATCAGAGCTCTCTTATTTTATGATGCTGCTATTGCTGTCGCTACGTGCCATCACAGCTCAGACTCAACACAACAGCTGACTCACCAGCAGGTTTTCAGCTGTAGGACACTGCACAGGAGACTGGCCATCTTCCTCCCTCAGAGTGGCTGGTGGATTCACATCATATGCTTTGGGGTTGGCAGAGCAGCTTCTTACCAATAAGTTAACAGAGCTCTGTCATTTCCAAATGCTATTTTAGCCATAAATTAATTTTCCAAAGTACAAACATTTTATTACCAAGCAAGACCCCAAAAAATCCCTCTGGGCAGCACGAACCTGTACATTTCGATAGCACGTTCATCCTCCTCATTAAATTCATCTTCATTCTCCTCCAGCTCTTCCAAAGTCATCTCTTCATATGTTTTCACTAAAAAGGAGTTATGTGATCAAGAAGCAAAACATTTAAGAGACAAATAAATACATACTGTGCTTTTTTTGCTTCACTTTTCTTCTAAAGAAACGTATACAATATCAAACGACCATCGAGCCACCAAAATAAAGAGTGTTTAAGGATTTGCACTAGTAAATGAAAAATTAAGGGTGTTTTTAAAAGATGTATCTATGCTGACATCTGTGGATGTAGCTGTCTTCCAGGTGATACCAAGGACATAAATAAGAACTTTGTCATGGACAGAGTTTATTAACAGCTCTCATCTCATCCAAAGAGACAGGAAACCAGCCAGTGTCCTCTGGGAACAAACCTTTACCCTAGAGTTAAAAGTGATAATCATATCACCGTATGGCCTTTTCTTATGAGGGACTGTTGTTAGATGCCATCAAGTCAACCACGACTTATAGCAAGTGTATGAACAACAGAACCAAACGTTGCCCTATCTTGCTCCATGCTCATGATCTCTGATGTGCTTCAGACTACTGTCACAGTCACTGTGTCAGCCCATCTCACCCAAGGTCTTCCTTTCTTTCTCTGACCCCTACCTCTCCCAGCTTATTTTTCCCCAGGGTTGGCTCCTCCTGAAAACATGCCCAAAATACAAGAGATGAAGGTTAGCCATCCTTGCCTCTAACGAGCAGCCTGGCTTCACTTAATCTAAGACAGATTTGTCTCTTTTGTTGACAGTCCATGGGATAGTCAGATTTTACATTACAATACAAAGGCGGCAATTCTTCTTTGACTTTCCCTATTTACTGTCCAACTTCCAGATGCATAGGAAGCAACTGAAAATATCAAGGCTTGGATCAGGTGCACTTGAGTCTTCAAATAGACATCACTGCTCTTCAGCACAGTGGCAAGGTCCTCAGTAGCTAGTTTCCCTAATGCAACATATTTCTGATTTTTTTTCTTTTTTAAATTTTGCAAAACAAGTGACAAAGGTTATTGCGGAAATAAGACAGAGAGAGGCATGATGGTTCCTATTGGCCTGGCAGTAAGGATTTTTGTTTTCTTGATGTTGTTAGGTCGAGTACGACTCACAGTGTCCCAATGATAAAGAGACTTGAACCCTGTCCTATCCTGTGCCATTCTCATCATCTGACACATTTGAGCCCACTGCTGCAGTCATTATGTCAATCCATTATGTCTTCTTTTCTTTCTCTGACCCTCATTTTCCCAAGCATGATGGCCCTGTCCAAAGGAACAGCTTTTGCTATCAACATGTCCAAAGTATGGGAGACAAGCTTCACCATCTTTTTCTCCAAGGAACACTCTGGCTGCACCTTCTCCAAGACACACTTGTTTATTCTTTTTGGCCCATAGCATGTTCAGGACTGTTCTCCAACACCACAGTTCAAAGGATGACTACTTTTGTCATACTTATCCACTGTCCAGCTCTCAGATGCATGCGAAGTGACTGAAAAGACCATGGCCTGAATCTGGTGCACCTTAGTCTTCAAACTGAGGTCACGTGTCTGACAGCGGACTTGCCGACTTGCCCAATGCAATACTTATCCTGCCCTTCTGACTTCTGAGAGTAGAGTGGTGACTGTTGATCCAAGCAAGACAAAATCACTGACAACTTTTATCATTTCACCATCTATAATGATGCTGCCTAATGGCCCAGTGGTGAGAACCTTTGTTTTCTGGATATTAAGATATAATCCACACCAAAGACTGTAGTCCCTGATCTTCTGCAGCAAGTATTCCAAGTCCTTGCCATTTTTAACAAGCAAAGTTGTGTCATCACAGTACAATAACAATGCAGGTTAAGGAGTCTTCCTCTGATCCTGATGCCACATTCCTGATGCTAAAGTCCAGGTTCATGAATTATTTGCTCCAAAAAGTCTCAGCACTTGCCCTTTTTGACCAATAAGCAGCTTTGGATCCAATCCATCACTGCTCCTTCCTGAACACTTTTCCTCCTCTGCTTTCCTAGGCACCCCTCTCCAACTAGATCTTCATGGCTGGCCCTCCCTGAGAGCCTTCCCTGACTGGAGTTTCCCTGGGCTCATACCTGGGGATTCCTTGTTCTCTTTATCTATATCCATTCCCTTGGTGATCATGTCTACTCTCACTGCTTTGAACATTACCAATATTCTGACAACTCCCATATGTATGCCTCCACTGAGTTTTCTCTAATTCAAAGGAAAAAAAGACTCTTCTTCCCACCTAACATTTCCATTTGTTTAATAAGTTATCTCAAACTTAAGATGGCCCAAAGCGACTTCCTGTTCCCTCCAAGCCTACCTGTCTCTTAGGTCCCGCATCTCATCTGGAGACTCCATTCCTCCAGTGTTCAAGTGAAAAGCCTGGCAGTCATCGTGACTCATCTCTCCCTCATAGTTCCCACAAGATCCATCAGCAATCCTGTTAGCACTACATCCAAAATACAGGCAGAGCTGATGACTTCTTACTACTTCTACCACTCCTGTTCAAGCCATTGTTGTCTCACACTTGTTCATTTTCACCTAAGTTCCCAGAAGGGTCTCCCTGCTTCCTGCCTTAACACCCCCTCTCCAGGGTCTGCTCAGCAAAGCAGTAACAGAACAATGCTTTCAAAATGGAGGTACATCACCCCTTTGTTGAAACTTTAAGGCCAAAGTCTTTACTAAAAGCTACAAGGCACTGAATGATTTCACTCCTAGCTGCCTCTAAGAACACACTTGCCACCACTCACCCAGTCACACCAGCCTACTAACGATTCTTAAACATGCCAACTCTGCTTTCCATTTACTATAGCTCACTCCACTTCCATCAAACCAAAATCAAGTCTGCTGCTGCTGAGTAGATTCCAACTCAAAGTGACTCTCCACTGTGTTTCCAAAGCTGTAACTCTTTTGGGGAAGAAAGGGCCCATCTTGATCGATAAAACAGTTGATGGAATCAAACCACTGACCTTTTGGTTAGCAGTGTGACTCCTAACACACGCCATCATCTTAAGACATACTCAAATGTCCATTTCACGTGCTGCAGGTCATTACCTCACTTGCTGTATGTAAGGAGGACCTGACATGCTTGTTCCAAAGGACCAAAGACTGCAGTCTTGAATATGGCTTTCATCTCAACCTCAAGAAAACAAAAATCTTCACCCCTGGACCAGTGGGCAACATCATGATAGATGGGGGAAAGGCTGCAATTGTCAACGATTTCATCTTGCTTGGATCCACAGTCAACATCCTTCATACCAGCAGCCAGGAGATTAGGAGACTTCTATTACTGGGAAAGTCTGCTGACAGGTATCTCTCCAAAGTCCTAGAGCACATTGGTGTCAGTTTAAAGACCAAGATGCAGCTGATTCAAGCCAGTCCTTCCAATAACCTGAGATGCATCAGAGAGCAGGATAATAAGTAAGGATGACAGGAGAAGAGTCGACACATTTGAATTGTGGTGTTAGAAAAGGGTGGCTGGCTATCCAAAGTGGCTGAATGGCCCACCTGAACAGTATCCACTGCTCCACCAACCATTTCCACCCCCTTTCCTGTTTTATTTCCCCATATTGTACTTACTTATTATGTTTATTGTCTGTCCCCTTACTAGAATATATGTTGCATGAAGAAAGGAAATTTTGTGTGGTTGTGCATAGCTAAATCCCACTGTCTCGAATACCTGGTATCTGTTGTGTGTCACCCGGTAAGATTCAAATTTACAGCAACCTTACAGAACAGAATGGAAGCATCCCATAGGGTTCCTGGGTTATGATCTCTCCAAGAATAGATCATCAAAGCTTATTTCGTGAAAATTACTATTGTGTTTGAACCACCAACTCTTTGGTTAGCAGATGAGTGCTTCAACTACTGCATCACCAGAAACCCTTATTAACAGCACCTAGATGGGATTCACTAAATAGTTGATGGCTAAGTCGCTAAGTCATTGCAATATATCCTTTTCTAAGTCAGTTATGAACAGGTAGTAAAAGCATTAGTCCTTGTGATCAACCCATCCAAAACCCTGTCACACATTTGAAAACGTCTGAATCTCTTGTTTAAAAGGCACATCCCTGGGCCCCATCTCTAGTCTGCTTCCGTAGAATTAGGAATTTTCTCCTGTCATTTCATTCTCTCCCTGAATTTTATTTTTCTTACAAAACATAGCAATTCAACAGTCTCTACTTAGACCACTTAGTATAGTATATAATTCTGTTCACTCTTCTCTTCTGAGTTGTTCCGCATTTAAAAACACAAATGTACTTCCCTCTTAGAAACCTACCTAGTCTTTCAAGTTGCTATTGTGAAAGTGGTTCCAAATACACAGTTATTAAAAAGTAATGCAAGAAAGTCTGACCATTCTTACTAGTTAAGCTTGCTGCTTGATTTTAAGATGACTTAAGGAGATATTTTTTTACTTAAAGTTTAAAGATAATCTAAGGACAACAGTTCCAGGGACTCATACATCCTCTATGGTTCCAGAAAGGTTAAAATCCATAATGAATTAAAATTTTGTTCTTCCCTGTCCCCATGTGGTCAGGATTCTTCAACAAACTCTTTGATCAAAGTGTTCACTAGTGGAATACAAGTGCCACCTGGTTCTGAGAGGCAGTTGTTCATGGAGGTTATAGGCCACCAACTCTATATCTTCCTCCTATTCCTCACTCAGCTTCTTCCTCTGTTACTCATGTAAATAAACACCAATCATTGTCCCATGGACGGTGAACCTAGCACACCTCAACAGACTCCAATTCAGACTGGAGGTTCACCTAGGAGAAAAACTTATAAATATGACATACTGCAAACATCAGGGGTTTTTTACTGCAAACATCTTACGCTTCCTCAAATTTAGCTATATTTTCAATTCAATCAATCAAACTACAAAGATAGCAAAGTATAACGTCAGGAGAATGCAAACACTAAAATCTTTTGAAAACATTTCTATGTCAGGCTGCATAGTAAATCACAAACCAGGAAGTCAGATGTAGAGATAGTTCAGGATTCTCGTCTGCTCATTGGACACTAACGAGGGATTATGAAAGTGAAAGATTTTCTGAAGTTCCCCAAACTAGACAGTCCAGAAAGGTAAAGGCTGTGGACATCCTGTGGCCTGCCAGAGGCCATGGACTAGCTCCACAGCAGCTGAGTCTTGACTCTTGCTCAAAGCATTCTAACTACAACAGGTAGAGGTTTAGAAAGTCATTTCCTAAGCCTGAAACACATGGAATAAAGTGAGTGTGCTCACCAATTGACTGCTGAAGGACTCGCTGCTCCTCCTCTTCCTGTTCCAATTCTTTTGAATTTTCCTTTGGGGGCAAGATGCCTTTTTTGCGTAAGATGTCATTCCACTCGGTATCTGCATTGGGGTCCTAGAACAGAAAAATCAAGAACACCATGAGTGCAAAGTCCAGTGTGGAGGGTGCCATACTGGGGAAGGGGTTACGTGAGAATTGAGAAACGCAGACCAAATTACTCTGTGGCCTATTTATTTTCTGAGGTGTTAAATGGTCTATACCATTCATTCTACTCTTATGCTCTTCCACTGTACACTCATCCCACTCTGCTCATCTTGGAGCAACAAATGACTCCAACTGCAGACTGGCATCAGATCTAGCCTCTGCTGAGTATTCAGTGAATGACCTGGACTGACTCACTGAACAGATATTTATCAATTATAGAACCAGGGTTTGTTGTTGTTCTTGTTGACTGCCATCAAGTTGAGTGACTCATAGCAACCCTATGAACAAAAACCCTGAAGCCTTTTTGAAACTATCGTTGTTTCTCAAAGTTCATATAGTTTGCAGAGGCATGTTGTTTAGGAAGCGAATGCCATTCCTGCTTATAGAACCAAGGCAGTTGTTGTTGTTAAGTACCGTCCAAGTTGTAGGCAACTCATAGTGACCCTATGAGCAAAAGACCTGGCACTTGTGTAACTTTCATCCTTTCTCCAGGTTCATAGGGTTTCAGGAGGCAAGCTATTTCGGAAGTGGATGCCACTCATGCTTCTGAACTTGTTTCAATCTGGGAGCTCCACCAAACAATGTCCACCATGGAAAACCATTATCGCATTTGACACATCAGTGTCACAGTGTTTAGCATCACAGCCACTACAAGTTACCTCTGTAGAGCAAATGGACAGACCAGTGCTATACCACCTGGAAGCAACTAAGGTAGTAGGGTTTAAACACTGGACTGCTATCATAAATTGAGTGGGACTTCCCCCCAAATAAGGATGTCATGGTATATCGTGGAAACTATGTAATGATCCCTCATGATCTGGCAAACTCCACAGTTCAAGACAGAAATGTGGAATGCAACACAGCCCTTACTCACGAAAAGGAAGCTTCCCTAGAATATGTCCTGTAACACATTTCTCACTGCTGTCGTTTGTATCTCAACTCATAAAGACTACCTTCCTGCAGTTTTCCAATATCACTCACACAGGAGTGCACCTATCTTTCTGCTTCAGAACTGCTGGTGGATTCGAATTGCCACAGAGGTGCCACTACAAAGTACACCGCCAGAGCTCCCTTTTATCTCACAAGACATAAAAGAGGCGCAAAGTAGACCTCAGAACTACCAAGAAATAATCACCAGGATTAGGAATAGGATCTGACCCGGATGGCATGTAGCAACTTACCTATTTAGTTTACCTTTATCATAGACCTACTTAAGAGAGAAGTGCATTTACAAAGATAATTTGTTCCACAATGGAACAAACTGAAAAGTGAGTGCACCCCAAACAGAAGACCATCATTCGGGGGTGTCGGGGAAGAAGGGTGAGGAACACGAGTTCCAGGAGTTCTCTGTATCTTTTAAGTATTCTGAGCTGCTTCCGGAGCCCTACAACTGGTCCATGATACACCTACTTAGCTGATCAAAAGGGGCAGATGTACAAGAAGTAATTTCTGTCAGTTAAGCCCAAGAGGAAAGATACTGGGATTGGCAATGAGGAGCGCACAGCAGGATTTGGGGTCCAGCCAAAGGTCTGGCAGGGCCACGCCCGCCCTCTAGCACTGCGCCTGCGCACGGCCGAGATTCGCACGCCCCTGCCCTGGCATGTCCCGTAGACCCGGTCGGGACCGTCCACAGCTGGCTCAGACTCAACGTCTGCCGCTGGCTCCTGACCCCCACCTCCCCGTTTGCTCACCTGCATCTTGTTTCCAATCGCTTAAATCAGGCGGCGAGCCCAGGCCTTCAGGTCTGCTCTGCGCACGCGCTCAGCCGCGCCTCTCTTCTATCGAGCTGTGGCTTCGCCCGAGCAGCTGACACTAGGCGGAGCTGGAGTCTGCGCCTATCCGCGCCTGTCCCCGCGGGCACCTGCGCCTGCGCAGTCGGGCACGCCCAGCGTCAGGCTGAGCCCGGGAGTTCTCAGGGGCTGTGCCAAAGCCTCAGGAATACCTTACATGGTCTCAGGAGGAGGGTTGGTGGGACTGGGTGGAACTGCCGGAAAGCAAACTACCTTCTTCAGGACGGAAGCAAGCATGCAAGGAAGTCTCCAGGGCACAATGGCGGAGGCTGTCTTTGACTAATAAGTCAAAAATAGAAATGCTTTCAAGTGACCGTGAGGCTTGCCTGGAATTCACAGAACATCATTTCAAGTAAGGCAACTCAGTGCATTAAGTGTTGGTGCAACTAACCTAAAGGCCAACAGTTTTAATTCATCACCTTTTCAGCAGGATAATGAGGAGCTGGGACTAACTCTTTGAAGTGGGTTTTGTTTACTATGTACCAACCATTATTTAGCCTCTGGAACTAAACTCAGTGCCCTGGAATAGAACCTAATCATAGCTGCTGCTCCTGCGGATTTTCTAGAACTTGTAAATCACAAAGATTCTTCCCTTCAGTAGCTCTGTGAGAGAAAGAAGGGCAATCTCCTTCAGTAAAGCTTACAGCCTTGGCAGCCCTAGAGTCAGAACAGACTAGGTAGGCTGCAGTGGGTCTTGGGACTATAGCAGTGATGAAAACAAAAAAGGTGAAAGTGAGTTCACCTTAGTTGAGCCTTAGGCTTATCCCAGCCAACTGGGTGACACAGCAAAAAAATCAGTTTTAACAAGAGCTCTGGTGGTATGTATAGTTCTTGTTGTATTGGGCTACCATCAAGAGACCATGCATCTCTGAATATTGGAATCTACCAATGGCTCTACAAATAAAGATGAGCATTTTTTTCTGTTAACATATGGTGTTGTTATTGTTATGTGCCATCGAGTTGCTTGCAACTCATAACGACCCTCTGTACAACAGCCCTGAAACCTGCTCTATCCTATGCCAATCTTACTGTCTGACATACCTACCCCCATTCCCCAGTAACTGTACCAATCCATCTCATCGACGGTCTCCCTCTCTTTCTCCCTTCCTTCACCCTTCCAAGCATGATGTCCCTTTCCAAGGACTGGTCTCTCCTTGCAACATGCCCAAAGTTTCAGAGGAAGCTTCAGAATCATAAACCTTAATAGACAGTTGCAATGAGTTGGAACTTACTTGCAGTGAATTTCAAGTTTGACTTCATCCTGCAGAGGTGTTCAAGTGGTGCAGTGGATTAAACATTGGACTGATAACCAAAGGTGATTTTTGTTAAAGTTAGGGATTTTTTTTTAAGCTTTTTATAGGCTAAATTGTGGGAAGCCGAATACCAAATTTAATATTAATAATAAACCAAATGCTGTATCAGAATATGAGGGAGGTGTAATACAAGCTGGAGTTCACCTTGAGGCACTAAGAGTTTCTTAGTTTGTATTACCTTAATCCCTCCCTCCTGAGATGAGCAAAAGGTAAACAATAGAGAAGAACTCCATCTTATTTGCAAAGGACTTCCTCATGATCCTTTGGTTTTGTTTTCTACTCCCTTGTGATTTTCCTTTGTTTACCTTCCTGATGATTCTCAATAAATACACAGTGTTATACTCTCCTGTTCTCCTGAATGCTGGTATTATAACTGTTGATTGTGGATCCAAGTAAGATAAAAATCGTTGACGATTTCAATCTATCATCCTTACTCATTGTCAAACTTTCATTTGCATAGAAGTAATTTAAAAGGCCAGGCTTGGATCAGGCACACCTTAGTCTTTAAATTGATACCCTTGCTCTTTAGCTTTTGACAGATGCTACTATTGATATTGACTGTGGATCCAAGTAAAATTAAATTATTGCCAACTTCAGTCTCTTCTCCATCTATCATAATAGTGTCAGAAATCTAGAGGACAGCTACCTGTCCAATGACTGAAAGGAATCCATATTTATTCCCTTTCCCAAAAAAAGGTGATTCTACCAAAGGTGGAGATTATAAAAAAGGGAATTTTGGTGGCCTACTGACAAGAAGTTGTGCTGGAATCCCAAAGGCACACAGTTCAAGGACACCAGCTGCTGCACAGGAGAAGGATGGGCAGTCTCCTCCCATGCAATTAATTGCCTCTGAAAAACTGCTGGAGGGTCAGCTGTGGGTAGGTTCTGATTCTACAGTACAAAGCAGCAACATCACTAATGTCACATGCAAGTAAAATCTTGCTGAGGATAATGAAAAAAATTAAAAATATCTAGAACAGTACATTAACAGAGAACTGCCAGAAATACAAGACTAGAAGAGGCTTATCATTGCTAATGTCAGATGAATCATGGTTGAAAGAAGAGATTATCAGAAGGATATCTATTTGGGTTTTATCTACAATGCAAAGGCATTTGGCAATATGGGTCAAAACAAATTGTGGCTAACACTGAGAAGAATGGGAATGCCAGAACACCTGATTGTGCTCATGTGAAACCTGTCACTTGACCAAGAAGTTGTTGCCTAAACAGAGCAAGGGAACAACACTACAAGATTCAAAATCAAGAAAGAAATGTGTCAGGGATGTACTCTGTCTCCATACCTTTTCATTCTATATACAGATCATTCGGGAAGATGGACTTTATTCAGAAAAAGTGTGGCTGGCATCAGGATTGGAGGAAGACTCATCAAAAACCTGTGTTATGCAAATGACACAATTTTGCTCACTGGAACTGAGGGGGACTTGAAGCATTTGCTGCAGAATGTCAAGGACTGTAGTTTCAATATGGATTGAAGTTCAATGTCAAGAAAACAAAGTTTCTTAACATCAGATCAACAGGCAGTATCATGATAGATAGAGAAAGGATTGAGGTTGTTAACTATTTCATTTTTCTTGGCTCCACAATTAACAGCCCTGGCACTAGTAGTCAGGAAATCAAAAGATGAGTTGCACTGGGAAAATATGCTGTCAAGGATCTCTCCAGAATGCAAAAGAGCAACAAAGTCTTTCAAGAGACTAAGAGGTGCCTGATCCAGGCCATAGTCTTTTTAATTACTTGCTATGCAACTGACAACAACAACAATGCAACTGAGAACTGGAAAATGACTAAAGATGACAGAAGAGTAGATACCTTTGAGTTGTGGTGCTGGAGAAGAGTAGTGAACATATATACATAAACTGCCAAGAGAACAAATAGATCTATCCTGGAGAGGGTAAAACCAGTTTGCTCCATGGAGGCAAAGATTTTAAAACTCCATCTCACATACTTTGGGCTTGTTGCCAGGAGGGACCAGTCGTTGGAGAAGGACATCATGCTTGGAAGGTTAGAGGGTCAATGCAAAAGAGAGAGACCCTGGATGAGATGGATTGATGCAGTGACTGTAGTAGTGGGGTCAGGTGTGTCAGAGACAGGTTGGCTCAAAAAAGGTCAAGGTTCAGAGCCATTGTTCATAGGGTTGCTATGGGTTGTAGTCAACTCTACAGCACATAACAACACCAACGTTATTGTGCTGATCATAATGTTATCTAGTGGGCCAATGGTGAGGATATTTTTTTTATGATGTTGGGATGCAATCCACATTGAAAGTTGAAGTCTTTGATCTGTAGCAAATGCTTCAAGTCCTCTTTGCTTTCTGCAAACCCTCTTACCATCTTCTAAAGGATTTCGTTCTAGCAGTCATTTTTTTCTGTTCTTGTGCCTTCACTTTCTTCCTTTCTACTGGATTGTTCTTCTCAACATGTGAACATACTGAAATATTTCTAATATTGAAGACAAAAAGCACTTTCTTGTCCCACATTCCACTCTCATTGCAGAGACTTTCCTATCCCTTTCTAACAAAGCTTTTTGACAATATATTTATACTCTTTGTCTCCACTTCCACCCTTTCCATCTAGTCAGCTCACTTCAGTCAGGCTTTTGTTTACCCACTGAATAGACTTTTGTTATTGTCACCAGTAGTCTTCACAGGTGAAATCCACTAGCTCAGTATCAATGCACACCTTCCACTATTCTTAACAGATTTCACAGGCTCTCTCACTCTCTCCCTCATGAGACAATTGCTTTGCTTTGCTTTGCTACTTGAACTTATGTCCTCTAGAGTGTCTTACCCCACTGTTTTGTTGTTGTTGTTAGACATCTTTGAATGAGATCTAATTCACAATAACATTATGTTCAACAGAAAGATACTGTTCAGTCCTTTGTCATCCTTACAATTATTACCATGTTTGAGCCCATTCTCGTAATCAGTCCCCTTATTGAGGGATATTTTTTCTCTTGGCCTTCCACTTTATGAGGTATGTTGTCTTTTTCCAGAAACTGGTTCCTTCTGATAACATCCAAAGCAAGTGAGACAAACTGTGCACTCACTGTTCTTTGCCAGCTCCATAACTCAAAGGCATCAATTATTTTTCAGTATTTCTTAATTTTTGTTTTACCTTAAGTTTGTCCCTTTTTCATTTTCTTGGCTAGATTCTTCTTTTTTCTTAAACTCAGATGAATATTTTCTAGAGGCTCAGTTCTCAGCTCTTCTCCATGTAGTTTTCCTGGGTAATCTCAATTATTTATATAAATATGGTGATAAATATGCAAAACACTGCATGATCAGGATCAGGAAAGGTGTATGTCAGGGAAGAGAAACATCCTATTTCTATACCTTTTCAATCTAGATGTAGAACAGATTATTCAGGAGGCTGGATTTTACGAGATTCCTATATGGCATCAGGATTGGAGGAAGACGCCTCACCATCCTATGTTATGCAGATGACACAACCTTGCTGAAACTGAAGAGGACATTAGATGAAACTGAGACATTTGATGCAGAAAGTCAGGGACTATAGTCTTTAATATGGATTGAAGCTCAACATCAAGAAAACGAAGATTCTCACCACTAGGCCAATTG